CCCCACTTGCTCCCCTCCCCACTCCACCTGCTCCCCACCCTGGCCCTCCCCTCCCCACCAGGCGATTGGGTGCTGGGTAAGAACTGGTCAGGACCCCCAGCTGCGTCCTCGCTGCCCTGACCCTGCCCGCCTCCTGTCCACAGCCACCCCGGTGGTGCACAGGGGAGGGAAGGGCGCGTGGCACCTGCACATCTGCAGCTGTCCTGCTCAGGCTGCTTCCCCCCTGCAAGCGGGACACCCACCGAGAGCCCAGGGGGAGGGGGCAGGGGGCCCTGGCATAGCCCTCACCTGTGGAGGTGTGCACACGCTCCACTCCCGTGTGCAGCTTCAGCGTGTGGAGGCGTGCACACGGCTCCGCTCACACGGCTCCACTCCCGTGTGCAGCTTCAGCGTGTGGAGGCGTGCACACGGCTCCACTCCCGTGTGCAGCTTCAGCGTGTGGAGGCGTGCACATGGCTCCACTCACACGGCTCCACTCCCGTGTACAGCTTCAGCATGTGGAGGCATGCACACAGCTCTGCTCCCGTGTACAGCTTCAGCATGTGGAGGCGTGCACATGATGCCACTCCCGTGTGCAGCTTCAGCGTGTGGAGGCGTGCACATGGCTCCACTCACACGGCTCCACTCCCGTGTACAGCTTCAGCATGTGGAGGCGTGCACACAGCTCTGCTCCCGTGTACAGCTTCAGCGTGTGGAGGCGTGCACATGGCTCCCCTCCCATGTGCAGCTTCAGCGTGTGGAGGTGTGCACATGATGCCACTCCCATGTGCAGCTACAACATGTGTGGGGATGTGCACACAGCTCTGTTCCCGTGTGCAGCTTCAGCATGTGGAGGCGTGCACATGGCTCTGCTCAAGTGTGCAGCTTTAGCGTGTGGAGGCATGCACACGACACCGCTCTCGTGTGCAGCTTTAGCGTGTGGAGGCGTGCACACGCTCCGCTCCCATGTGCAGCTTCAGCATGTGGAGGCATGCACATGGCTCCACTCCCGTGTGCAGCTTTAGTGTGTGGAGGCGTGCACACGGCTCTGCTCCCGTGTGCAGCTTCAGTGTGTGGGGACGTGCACACGCCTCCGTGTGCAGCTTCAGCTTGTGGGGACCTGCACATGGCTCTGCTCCAGTGTGCAGCTTTAGCGTGTGGAGGCGTGTACACGGCTCCGCTCCCGTGTGCACCTTCAGCGTGTGGGGATGTGTACACGCTCTGCTCCCGTGTGCAGCTTCAGTGTGCGGGGACGTGCACATGGCTATGTTCCCGTGTGCAGCTTTAGCGTGTGGGGAGTGCACACACTCTGCTCCCGTGTGCAGCTTTAGCGTGTGGGGACATGCACACGGCTCTGCTCCCATGTGCAGCTTTAGCATGTGGAGGCATGCACACGGCTCTGCTCCCATGTGCAGCTTTAGCATGTGGAGGCATGCACACGGCTCTGTTCCCGTGTGCAGCTTTAGCGTGTGGAGGCATGCACATGACACCGCTCCCGTGTGTAGCTTTAGCGTGTGGGGATGTGCACACGGCTCTGCTCCTGTGTGTAGCTTTAGCGTGTGGGGACGTGCACACGGCTCTGCTCCCGTGTGCAGCTTCAACGTGTGGAGACGTGCACATGGCTCTGCTCCCGTGTGCAGCTTTAGCGTGTGGAGGCATGTACACGGCTGCACTCCCATGTGCAGCTTTAGCGTGTGGGGACGTGCATGCGGCTCTGTTCCTATGTGTAGCTTCAGCGTGTGGGGACGTGCACATGGCTCTGCTCCCGTGTGCAGCTTTAGTGTGTGGAGGCGTGCACATGGCTCTGCTCCCATGTGCAGCTTTAGCGTGTGGAGGCATGCACACGGCTCTGCTCCTGTGTGCAGCTTTAGCGTGTGGAGGCATGCACATGGCTCTGCTCCCGTGTGCAGCTTTAGCGTGTGGGGACGTGCACACGCTCTCGTGTCCTGGTTGAGGAGGCCTCATGTACAACCCTCTCCACTTGTGTGGCATCCTCTGCCCAAGCATTTGGAGGTGAGAGTCTATGGATGCCGGTGTTGGCAGCGGAGACGCGAGGCCGTGCGGCTGGACGGGGACAGGACGGGCGGGTGAGGGGCTCTGGCCTGGCCCACGTCAGGTCATCCATTCAAGGTCGGGAAACCAAACATGACATCAAAGAAGAGATGTTTGGGCTTGGCGGTTCTATTTGCTTGTGTCTATAAATAAACAAGCACGTGCTTGTGGGCGCTCAGATGCACATGCTGTTAACTGTCAGCGGCTCCGAGGAGATCCCCAGAGCCCTTCTGCTTCCTGGGAGCAGTAGAGGTGGCGTGTAGTGAAGTGCCCAGGTTCAGAGCTGAGTAGCCGGAGAGCCAGGATCGGCGCTTTAAACTGCGCATTTGACTCGCCAGAACCTGAGGTTGGGGACACCACCTCGCAGCGTGTGTGGCACAGGGTCCCCAAAGAACTGCAAGGCGCGTCCTTGCTCCGTGGCAGGCTGGAGGCACACAGCGGACACGGCGATGCGAGGAGCCAGTTCTGGGCCCATCATAAAGGAGCTGGCCTGGTTAAGTCCCGTGCCAACCTCTCCAAGCCACGCTGGCACATTTCTGATAAAAACTCCAGGGAGGAAGTTCTCAGTGTCCTTCAGTGTGCTGCTGAAAGGTGTGGTTTTGTTTTTAGTGAAGTCATCTTTCTGGGAAGAGACAACTTCAGTGTCCAGCCCAGGGACTGGAAGGCCAGGCTGTGGACCGCAGAAGCCAGGGGCCACGGCCCCTTGAGGCAAAGTCTCCTCTGAGGCTGAGGGATGTGGGGCTGAAAGGGAGCAGTGAGAGGTTAACACCCAGAGGAGTTTTTGCTTACATGTCAGAGCCACGCAGTGCTCCACAGAAAGGACCAGGCCTTCCGAGCCTGTGCCAGAGAGGCTCTGGGCAGGAGGGAGGCAGGGGGCAGGAGGGAGGCAGGGGGCAGGAGGGAGGCAGGGGGCAGGAGGGAGGCAGGGGGCAGGAGGGAGGCTCTGGAACAAGGGCAAGAGAAGGAAAAAGGAGACGGAGGGTCCTGGGGGAGGCTGGGGTGCAGGGCGGCCCCAGGTCGTCCGTGTCAGAACCGAGGGGCACCCTGTGCCCTGGGACGGGGGGGGCGGGGAGGCGGGGGGCAGAACACCAACCTGCAAACCCCACGTGTGGCCAACACCCCTGCAAGCCTGTCAGTGTCCAGCAGACTAAATGTCTGTGGCAGCCATTTCCGCTTCCTGGTGGACATGAGCACACACAGGCATGGCCATAGCCCCCATCACTCCCCACTCTGGAGCTGTCCTAGGACTCGGGGTGTGGCTCTTCCTCTGGGCGGGCTCATTCCCAGCAGCTGTGGGTCTGGGTCGGGCTGCAGGGGCTCATGTCTTCTGCAGTGTTCTAGAAATACAGCATCTGCTATGTGTGGGGGGTGCTGGTTGAGGTTGGGCAGTTAAGGAAGTGGTCATGAGCATGCCCACGTCAACTTTGGTTAATTCCTTCAGGCTCCCAGGCCAGCCCAGGCCAGGGCTGGACCCACGTTGCGCTCATGTATCTGTGCTACAGTTCTCTGGGTACCAGGACCTAGCAGCAGAGCTGGGTCAGGGCCGCCGCCACCCGCTTGAGCCGTGCCCGCATCCTTGAGTGTCCCCTGTCCGCCCACTGGCATTGCTTTTCCACCCATTTTGAAGATGCTCGATGTGATCCCTAGTGGGTCCCTCCGGACAGCCAGCGAAGGTGTCTGGGTTGGGAGGAGTGTGGCCTGGCCCTGGTGACACTCTCCTGTCTGTCACCCTCTTCAGCAGCTCTGCAGAGTCCAGAGACAGGGCTGCACCCGAGAACGTGTGTTTCCTCCTGCAGGCCATTGCTCAGCCCTGCTGCTGGCCTTACCCGATGCTCGGAAACGGTCTCTGCTTTCCCGTATTTTATTATATCTGGTGGTTTTGATTTTTGAGGCGGGGCCTTTCACTGTGTACCCAGGCTGGCCTTGGACTCACAACCCTTCTGAAGGCTGAGATTACAATGTGGGGCCCTAAATCCAGCGTGGGCCCAGTTTGGGATTCTTCTCTGAGGAAGCGCCCCAGGATAGATCCCCTGTGCCGCATGGCCCCTCGGCTCTGCTGTCTTACTATTATTGCTTAGCATTAGAAATTATAAATGCAGGTTCTTTCTAAAAAGAGACTCTTACATGTCTTGAAAGCTGTCACAGACAGTCTTATGCACTACCTAGCAATGCTCCTCGCACCTTCCACATGAGCACACACCCAGGCCTGCTGCACACCGCAGAGTCTGTGTCACCATTACACCCAGCTGAGAGCCTGCCTCTGCTTCTCCACCCAGCATGCTCATTTGCATGTGTTTTCCTTCATGCAGGACCTTGAGCTGCATGTACTGCACCCCACATTCCCTTCCTGGGCGGCCCACGCTCCTTGCCCCGGTTAAGGGTGAGGAAATTGAGGCACAGGTGTTTGTGCGGCTGGGGCAGGCCACATCACTGAGGCCTGGGAACTGAGGGTCAGCAGGTTTGAATGCTTGGGACCTTCTTGGCTCCTTCTCTCCCTCCCTTTCCCCTTTTTACGTTGTTCCTTCCTCCTCCTGTCTCCCTTTCTCTTTCTTCTTTCACTACCCTTTCTCTCTTCCTTTGTCTTACCCCTCCATGCTGGGGTTGGAACCAGGACCCTTGCCTGTGCTAAGCATGCCATCTATCACAGGGCCACACTCCGGACCTTTTCTTTATGTTCAAGATAAAACTCAAGGAGAGGGATGTAGCAGAAATGATTTGCATGGGTGTGGAGTGTGTCAGAGCCACACTGAGGTCTGGTGCACACCCTGGGGCTGAGAGAGTGGTTAGTTACAGAGGGACCAGCAGGAGAGAGACAGGCATGCATGTGTGTATGTGTGTGCGTGTGTGCACGCGCGTGTGTGTGTGTGCGCGCGTGCACGCAGATGTTCAGCAGGTGGGTATCAGCACAGATACAGGTGAGCAATTCCTTGGCCTGCCGATGGATCAGCACCCAGAGGACCCTGGCCCTGGCCCTGGGCAGCGCCACCGCTGGCAGCCCCCTCCACGGGACGAGGCTCCACAGGACGCAGGCCTGCCCCGTGTCTGTACGTGGCAGCTCTTCGTGGCCAGCTGGTAGAGAAGAGCCATGCACTGGAGGAGCCTCTGCCTCTTGGGGTTGGCGGGAGGGCACCTTCCATGCACATTTCTTTTGTTTTTCTCTAATGTCTCCCGACAGCCCTTTCACTCAGAGTGAAACAAAATGGCAGCACTCATATCGACCTTCTGTTTTCTGCCAGAGAAGGGGAGACGGGGTGTCTTTCCTCAGACCCGTGGACACGTACCAGCTTTCTGACTGTCAGCACGGTTACTGTTCTAACAGTGTCTTTGCCACAGCACTCACCCAAACCAGTGAATTCATCAACATTCGTGGAGAGAGGCTCAGGTTGAGGGGAAGATGCCTGAGTGCCTTGGCAGAAACCAAGTGGAGGCCCAGCTCTAGAAAGCCTTCTTCGCATGTTGCTCCCATTCGGCGTGGACAGCCTCGTGTGGATTTAGGAATTGTATTCTGCTCATAAATGTGGAGGTGCTGTCTCCTGTGTTTATGAATGCCTGGTGAGAGTATTGAAAACATCCAAAGTGCACCTGCAGACATTTTCTGGTGTTCTGATACAGCCACGACATTACGAATGCTGACTGTAACTGCAGGTTGTAGTTATATGAGACGTACCTGCAGCTTGTAGGAACTGAGGGGAACTACTTACCCTGACCATGTTTTTTAAACAGGGGTTACTTGAT